ATCTGCATTGTTGTCTTGCTCATGAAGATCGCCGACACTATCTAGTTTTATCTCTTGCTATATCTGAATGTCCATATCTCTCATTTATTAGCAATGATGTGCCGTAGCAGTGTAAATACCTCGAGGATACGTACCAAGTCGGTTATTAAATGGAATAGGCACAGACACATATATATATACATACATGTAAAAATAGGTGTGTAAAAAGGGACGATAAATACGAAAGGAAAAAGAATGAGGTGTCTCATAGATGCGAAAAACAAGGATAGATAGGATAGATAGATACATAGATAGATATGAACAGACTGCGATAGATAGATAGAATAGATAGATAGATAGATAGATAGATAGGATGAATATGAACAGATCGATAGATAGATAGATAGATAGATAGATAGATAGATAGATGAAGATAGATAGATAGATAGATGAAATGAACAGACTGCGATAGATAGATAGATAGATAGATGAATAGATGATGAATGAATAGATAGATAGATAGATAGATGAATATTAACATCATGAGATAGATAGATAGATAGATATTAACATCATGAGATAGATAGATAGATAGATAGATAGATAGATAGATAGATAGATAGATAGATAGATAGATAGATAGCAGAATATATAGGCCTACAGACTAAGATTGAAATCTAAAACATATATATAATGAAACCTATATAACATATTATATATAAATAATGAAATATGTGTACATGGTGGTTAAAAATGTATATGTGTATGTGGTTGTGTGCATCTCACGCAAAATAAACAATCCCACATCCCGTCCGTTGAATGAAGTGCGTTAAGCAGAATAAACACTAGGGAGAGAGCCAATCGTAAATTTAACAGGTCCACACAATTTTAAAAAGCTAAACAAAATAAATAAATAAGTAAATGAATAATGTTTTTTAAAATATTTAGATATTTTAGACCATCTCAATCAACTGAAATAAATTTATATCGGTACCAAAAAAATAATTATAAACTAAAAAAATAACCATATTTCCTTTCTTTTGCGTTTTCCTCCTAAAAGAAAAATTCCAATAACAATTTTAAAGTTCTTTTATTTCAGTGTTAGTGTATATAAATTTATTTTGTTCCTGTATATATAAATACATATATATATATATATATATATATATATATATATATATATATATATATATACATACATATATACATACATACATATATACATACATATATATATATATATATACATACATACATCTATACATACATATATATATATATATACATACATATATATATATATACATACATATATACATATATATATATATATATACATACATATATACATATATATATATATATATATATATATATACATATATATATATATATACACATACATATATATATACATATATATATACATACATATATACATACATGTATATATATATACATATATATATATATATACATATATATATACATACATATATATATATATATACACACATATACACACATATATATATACACACACATATATATACATACATATATATATACATACATATATATACATATACATACATACATATATATATATACATACATATATATATATACACACATATATACATATATATACACACATATATATATATATATATATATATATATATACATATATACATATATATATATACATACATATATATATACATACATATACATACATATATATATATATATACATATATATATATACATACATATATATATATATATATATACATGCATATATATATATATATATGCGTATATATATATACATATATATATATATATACACATAATTTTTACTTGAAATATACATATATATATATATGTGTGCACATATATATATGAATATATATAAATATATATATATATATATATACATATATATATATATATATATATATATATATATATATATATATATATATATATACATATATATATATATATATATATATATATATATATATATATATATATATATTATGTACTTTAAACGATAACTCTAGGGAACTAACCCATCCCCACAATTTGAAAACGATCGCTTTTCATCGCCTACAACGCAATTCAGGTGCGGGGGGGTGGCTTTTAGGTTACTGGGTGACTTGACGCTGAATGTCTTATCCTGGCTCTTTAACCCTAACTACTCAATGGTTTTGCTTTCCCCTCTCTACTCACACAAGTACATGTGCAAAAGAAAGGAAAAATAAAAAGGGAAGAAAAATCAGTGTATGTAAAAATCTCAAACAAGTGTGTACGTAAGCCTCACAGACGAGCCGTGAACTGTCATTAGCGTTAAGCCCAATTTCTGCTATTATATGATTAATTTTGTTGTGTAACTTATTTGCCCCCGCCTAGTTTTTGAGACAACACTGTTTTGAGAATCAGTTCAATCATAATAATGACTCCTTTACTCTCCTGATTTTAAATAGTTTCCAAATAAACCAATGCACCGAACAGTGTAACGACGATAATTCTTTAAAAAATAAAGTTGTTAAAAATAAAACATCAAAGTTATATCAACGTTGAAATAATGAAACAGAAGTGGTTAATTTTTCTTTCCAACGTTTGGCATTTTCTTCTTTTAAGCAAAAATCTTTTAAAACGATATTTACGGAAATTTACAAATTATTGGTATTACATAATTTGACCATACTTTCCATAAATGTCTAAAATACTTAATAAAATTTTAAAAACTTTGTTTTTTTCTACGGTTTTTTGTTTTGTAGATAAAAGATCGAATATGTTTCTACATTAAATTCAAAACGAGTAACTGGTAATTTTAATTAAATTTCTGTTGTCGATAAACATTTTTATGTATTTATTTATCAATTTATTTTTATAAGTACAGGGAGTACACAAATAAACAAGCATCGCTAATTTTAATATTAATTTTACTAGCTTATTTTAGGTTATTATCTAAACAGCTGTAACTTTAGTTTTGAGGAAACTGAACAACGACACCATTTCACAGTCGGTTTTTCTTAAACGTAACAAAAAGACCATAAAAATAGTAAAAAAAAGAACTGTTCAGACCACAGGGATAAGAACAAAATTCTACAAGGATATGCTGAATGCATTGAATGCAATTTGCCAGCAGGACATTTGAGCGCCTATTTTATCATATTCTTTTTTTTCTTTCTGTCTGTCTATTCATATCTATCTATCTATCTATCTATCTATCTATCTATCTATCTATCTATCTATCTATCACTTCTTTAATTTCGCAGGTGAAGAATTGTCTTTTCATATCTATCTATTTCAGTCTGTTCATCTATCTATCTAGCTCAATCTATTCATATCCATCTAGTCCCAGCTATTCATATATATCTATCTATCTATCTATCTATCTATCTATCTATCTAAACCCAATCTATTCATATCTATCTACATATATATATATATATATATATATATATATATATATATATATATATATATATATATTTCTTCCTTTTTATATCACATTTTGTTCATTTTCCTTTTTTTGTATCAACATTTTGTTCATTTCTTTTCTTCTCTTTTTCTCTATCTATCTATCTATCCTAGCTTTCACACTGTTTTTTCTTTTTTCTATTTATCTATCTCTCTCTGGTCCATTTCTCTCTCTCTCTCTCTCTCTCTCTATCTATCTATCTATCTATCTATCTATCTATCCTATCTATCTCATTCTGTTCCTTTTCTTTTTCTATTTCCATCTATCTCTATCTTATTCTGGTCCTTTTCATCTATCTATCTATTTATCTATCTAACTATCTATCTTATTCTTTTCCTTATCTATCTATCTATCTATCTATGTTATTCTGTTCCTTTTCTATCCATCTATCTATCTATCTATCTATCTATCGATCTTATTCTGTTCCTTTTCTATCTATCTATCTATCTATCTATCTATCTATCTATCTATCTATCTTCTTCTGTTTCTTTTCTATCTATCTATCTATCTATCCATCTATCGATCTATCTTATTCTGTTCCTTTTCTATCTATCCATCTATCTATCTATCTATCTATCTTCTTCTGTTCCTTTTCTATCTATCTATCTATCTATCTTCTTCTGTTTCTTTTCTATCTATCTATCTATCTATCCATCTATCGATCTATCTTATTCTGTTCCTTTTCTATCTATCCATCTATCTATCTATCTATCTATCTATCTTATTCTGTTCCTTTTCTATCTATCCATCTATCTATCTATCTATCTATCTTCTTCTGTTCCTTTTCTATCTATCTATCTATCTATCTATCTATCTATCCATCTGTCGCTCTATCTTCTTCTGTTCCTTTTCTATCTATTCATCTATCTATCTAGCGCGTAAGACCCTTCTTAAAAGGTTAGATAACTATTTTTCACTGGCGTTGATGTTTAACAAAATTTTGTAATAGTGCTTTTCCTGATAGACTGGTGCTCCTCACTTGGAAGACTGACGTGGCACAATCTTCCTAAGTCAATAATTAATGATCTGGTCTGGTGCCGAACTTATACAAAACGGACGAATTTCTCTGACGAGGTCAAATAATGCGCGTGGAATTGTATATTTTAACATATTTCCGTCTAAATTTTCGCACGTATTTTTTTTGTTTATCTATTCATTTTTTTTTTTTACAACGAAAAAAGAAATAAAAATAAGAAACAAAAGACAGAAGAAGTTCTATGTTAGAAAAAAAGAAAAATAAAAGATAAAAAAAGACAAAAAAAAAGGACAGATAAAATCTGAAATTCTTAGTACAAGTCAGTGCATTTTTTAACGGAAAAAACATGTTTTTTTTTTCTCACTCTGACACGGTACAAAACAAAACTGACCAATTTTTCAGATACTCTCTAATTCGTTTCTAATAAATAAATATTCACCAGAAAAAAAAACAAAATAAAACTTCAAAATTCCCTACAAAAAGTACAGAGCCAACTTCTAGTTCTTAATCCATAAAAAGACGAAACAAAAAAAAGAAATAAAAAAAATGATAAATTTATGGAAACATTTCTGTGAGACCACACTTTTTTATCTATCTATCTATCTATCTATCTATCTATCTATCTATCTCATTCTGTTCCTTTTCTATCTATCTTATTCTGTTCTTTTTCTATCTATCTATCCATTTATCTATCTTCTTCTGTTATATTTCTATCTATCTATCCATTTATCTATCTTCTTCTGTTATATTATCTATCTATTATCTATCTATCTATCTATCTATCCATCTATCCCTCTTTCCTTTCTATCTATCTATCTATCTATCTCATTCTGTTCCTTATTCATCTATCTATCTATCTATCTATCCATCTATCTATCTATCTCATTCTGTTCCTTATCCATCTATCTATCTATCTATCTATCTATCTATCTATCTCATCTGTATCTCATCTATCTATCTATCTATCTATCTATCTCATTCATTTCATCTATCTATCTATATCTCATTTCTGTTTCCTTATCTATCTATCTATCTATCTATCTATCTATCTATCTATCTATCTCATTCTGTTCTTTATCTATCTATCTATCATCTATCTATTCATCCTGTTCCTTATCTATTCTATCTATCTATCTATCTCATTCTGTTTCCTTATCTATCTATCTATCTATCTATCTCATTCTGTTCCATTATTATCTATTCATTCATCTCATTCTGTTCCATATCATCTATTCATCTATCTATCTATCTATCTATCTATCTCATTCTGTTCCTTATCTATCTATCTATCTATCTATCTATCTATTCATCTATCTATCTATCTATCTCATTCTGTTCCTTATATCTATCTATCTATCTATCTATCTATCTATCTATCTATCTATCTCATTCTGTTCCTTCTCATCTATCATCTATCTATCTATCTATCTCATTCTGTTCCTTATTATCTATCTATCTATCTTATTCTGTTCCTTTTCTATCTATATCTATCTATTATCTATCTATCTATCTATCTATCTATCTTATTCTGTTCCATTTCTATCTATGTATCTATCTATCTCATTCTGTTTCATTCATCTATCTATCTATCTATCTATCTATCTATTTTATCTTTTTTTTTTTTTTTTTTTTTTTTTTTTCATTTCCTGAATTTAAAAAATGACGCGATAATTCAATGAAATTCTTAAAAATAAATTTTGTTTTTTGTACTTTGGGGGTAATTACTTCGTTAATCATTTTAAAATTTAAATAAAGTTGCTAAAACATTAGTTATATCAATGTTGAAATAGTGAAATAGAAGGGGGGTAATTTGTCTTTCCAATATTTGGCGTTTTTCTTTTTTATGCAAAATAATATTTTTGTTTTTGCTTAAAAAAAAAAAAAAAGGCAAGGCGTTAAAGTCACTAAGACGCAAGGAGGTTTACTGAGTGTGAACGAAATAGAGAAAACGTTATTGAGGAGAAATGACAATTCAAGAACCGAAACCAAAAAAAGACACAAGATGGCGATTGACGTTGCATTTGAATTTCTGAAGATCGTTCTTGACAGGAAAGCAAGAAGGAAGATGATTCCACAGGCGAGAAGTGTGAAAGAAGAAACTATTAGAATAGAACTTACGGTTCGGGTTACATTTATTATAGTGGAAACCTGAATTTTTAGTTTAAAATAAAAACGTGATTTTTTTTTCTACTAAAATCAACTGAGGTATATTAAAATACAAAATCTTGATTATTTCGAAAAATATGAAGTAGAAACACCTGATAAAAACAAATAAATCATCGACAAAACGTATATATATATTTATAAACATATTCGCGCGGCTATCTACAAATATCCTGACATGGTATACAGTGGCGATTCTGGAACTCTGAAAGTGTGGGGGGGGCACTTGGGGGGTCGAGATTTTTCTGCGGAGAGCGGGGCGCAAATTCAAGCAGCGTCTTTATTTTTATACTACACCGCTATCGTATACGCAACTAAGGAATGAGTTTTAGTATAAGTATGTTACTTCACCGAATTAAACGGAATAACTTATCAATCATTCACAGTAGTGGAGTTCTAGTCTATTCTTGCCCCCTTTTTCACACTCAAGCTGATGGACCACAAGAGAGGTTTCAACTTCAAAACAATATCAAAGCGTTACTAACGTCAATACTAGCAGAACAGTGTCATTTGTCTGCTCTGATTTTTTTTCGTCTACAAAACTTTTAAAAAAAATGGAGGGGAAAACAAAGGGCGCAGCCAAAATTCGGGGTATAGGGGAAGGCATTGGTCCCTTCTGGCCCTCCCGTAGAATCGCCACTGATGGTACACACTTATATCTCACTTCAATATACTATTTTGCCCAAGCTATTAAAAAATGGAGGTAGAATTTGTTAAATTCTGACTTACTGTTACTAAACAGTTTACATATGTCAGGCTTTGAAAATACATTTTCCATTTATAATTAATAATATGGAGTAAGTTTGGTCAATTGGTTTATTACTAAAAATATTGATACAAAACCAAACACCACACCTACTTTATGACCAGGAGAATGTGATATTACTACTAACGAGTTTTTAACCATGTCATAAAAAAGACTTATTTGGTAAAAAAAAAACGAAAAAACTAAAATATACCTTATTATGAAGTGTTTACATGTGAGTTTTAAATAGTTTTTTTTCCCTGTTGTTATTGTTCTATTTCACGAAGTCGTTTTTTTATGTTGTTGTTTATAGTTTGTGCTTTTTTTTTTTTTTTTTTTTTCGGGGCTTGGTTTGTAAACATCTTGGGGTTGTTCATCATTGTCATAACATTGAATATAGGACAGCAAAATGTCAGTCATAGCTGCTAAAATATATATGTACTATTATATATATGATAGTACGTCCTGGGGCACCTCGACGTGGTGTAATGGTTAGCAAGCTTCTCTCGCTAGAACGATTACGACTGAGTAGAGAGTACAATCCACACAGGGTGCCTCCTACTTTCGGCCTTGTGTCATATCTAAGCTACGCTTGCAAAATCACTATATATATTGTAGCTGGAAATATTTATATATTTTGTCTACGACTGTCTGTCTGTCTGTCTCTCTCTCTTTCTCTCTCTCTCAATATGTACAGATAGAAAGAGACACATTGACATAGACACAGATGTATATATATATATATATATACATATATATATACATATATATATATTCATACATATATATATACATATATATATATATATATATATATATATATATATACATATATATACATATATATATACACATATATATATATACATATGTATACATACATACATACATTTATATATATATATACACATACATATACATACATATGCATATACATATATATATATATACATATACGGATATATATATACATACATACATATACATATATACATATATATATATATACATACATATACATACATATATATATATATATACATACATATACATACATATATATATATATACATGCATGCACATACATATATATATACATACATACATACATATACATATATATATATATACATATGTACATATATATATATATATACATGCATATACATATATATATATGCATACATACATATGCACATACATATATATATATATACATACATATACATACATATATATATATATATATATATGCATATACATGCACATACATACATATACATATATATACATACATACATATACATACATATATATATATACATATACATACATATATACATATATATATATATATATATACATACATATATATATATATATATATATATACATACATATATATATATATATATACATACATATATATATATATATATACATATATATACATATGTATATATATATATATATATATATATATACATACATATATATATACATACATATACATACATACATATATATATACACACATATACATACATACATATATATATATACATATACATACATATATATATATACATATACATACATATATATATATATATATATATATATATATATACATATATATATATATATGTATATATATGTATATACATGCATATATATATATGTATGTGTGTATATATATATATTAGGTAATGAACATCTTGGTAATCCGTATGGATAATCCAAAGGAGGATGAAATCCGGAGCTCTATGTTAAATCAGAGCGATTAATTTAATTTTTTTTTTTTTTTTGACATGAATTCATTTTTTCACCCTTAGAAGTGTGGACTGATGAGCCAGGGAAAAAGAAATTACCTGGGAAAATAAATTATAACCAATGGACCCTTAAAGTTGTCTGTTTTCATTAAATTATATATATACATATACACACACACACACACACACACATATATATATATATATATATATATATATATATATGAGAGAGAATGCAGAAAAATTTAAGTTCGGTGAGGTAGAGACATGTGAGTGTGTGCGCGTGTGTTTATAAATGTTCATACCGGCAAACGAAATAAAATACTGCTTAAAAGATATACGAATCGTCTACACAAATATGGGGTCGACTAAAAATAATGTTAAAGTAATAAACAATATGTCACATTAATAAATAAAAAGCCATTTCTTATATCATATTAAGTCAAAGAGTATATGAATTGATATATATATATATGTGTGTGTTTTGAACAATAAAAAATATTAAAAAATTAAAATCTTCAGACACACTGAGTAGCAAATTAATATTCTTTCGTTTTTATTATTTCAGTTAGATTCCTCGACTAGTTTCGGCCAGCATGGCCATCATCAGGATAAAAATAAAATCTGCTTGTTAGTAGCAGTGAACTACAGAAATGAATGACTTGATGGAGAAAATTAACTTTTATCTGTAGTTTTCATTTGTTTTTATTTTTTTTACATGAATTTTGGTCAGTTCTTGTGTTGGTCAAGCAGTCTCTTTTAAGTTGTTATTTGAGATAAGAGCTGGATGGATTCATGCTGCTCTGAATTCACTTGATCATTTTGAACGTTCCTGGAAAGGGGATGTGTCTTTGTTAAGTGTGTGTATTATTTGGTTCAGGGTGTGAGTGAATATATATATATATATATATATATATATATATATATATATATATATATATATATCGTGGACTCTCCGTCGTTGATCCCGACGTCTACCGGGGACCCTTTTACGACGTATGAGGGTCAGGTTACTCAGTTCCTAGGAACCGACAGCCAGACAACCTGCACATATGATTTGATTATAGTGGTTAAGGTTTTGTGCAGAACCAACCACTTTTTGAAGAGACGAATACAGTGACAAGATCCCCAAACGACCCTCCGTAAGGGTTTTGCATTCAGAGATGTCATTTTCCAACCTTCTATAGTCATGCTATTTAGTCATGCTATTTATCCATAGCGGGCGGGTGTGGGGAGAAGAAGTATTAGTAATGTATTTGACTGGATCCAATTCCTCAATCCGAGCCGCTATCCATTACTCCACCCTGTATATTCCTTATACATATAAACATACGTATATATATATATGTGTGTGTGTGTGTGTGTGTGTGTGTGTGTGTGTGTGTGTGTGTGAAAAGCGTATATATATAAATATAAATAAATATATGTATATATATAATTATTTATATACTATATGCGCGGTACTTATTAGAAAGCGCTCAATATCAGAGATAGAGCTAACATATGTCGTTGGATAGATGTGAGTTTGTGACCCTTGGTTTCACGCTTTAGCGATACACACACACACACACACACACATATATATATATATATATATATATATATACAAGTATAGGATTTTTTGTATACGGAATAAATTCCAATAACCAACAAATACTATTCTTATGAGTGCTCAATACAGAGTAGAGTAAATACTTATTTATTCGAAAATTATAACATAAAAATGCTATAAATTCAAAACAAAAATAGCCATTTTGAAACAAATCTTCTGATGTCTTCTCAAGTGATGGTGTTGAATGTAGAATGGCTAATTTTTGTAGTGATTTTATAACATTTTTATGTTATCATTTTCGAATAAATGATTATTTATATATACATATATATATATATACATATATATATTCACATATATATACACATACACACACACACACATATATATTCACATATATACACACACACACACACAT